AGTAATATTTGGGGTCACGAGTTTTTGCCATGGATATTTTGTGGGTCAGAAGATAAAAAGTTTGGGAACCACTGCCTTAGAGGGTTAAGAAACTGTGGTTTTATGCTCCATTGAGATAGAAGACAAAATGTCTGAAACTTCTTGGATAAAAAGGATACAATTTTGGCATTCATCAAAAGCTCAGCTTTTCTAAGTATAAAATATAAATCTGTGTCTATTGGAGTTACTGTAACCTGATTTCCCCTCACCTCTGTTTTTTATCACCTTCTCTACAGCCTGAGGAATATGGGCAGGAGGCCATGGAAGGCCAAGGAGAGGGGATGTTGGAGCCAGAAGGGGAGACATATGATGAGTCCCAGCAGGTAAATCTGCCGGCACGACACAAGCCTGCACACGTCTCCTTTTTTTCAAGTCACATGGCCAAAAAGCTTACATGAAACGCCGCGAATGGCTCCTTGGATGTTATGTAAAACGATGCACTGCAGGCAGGGACGGCAGGGACGGGTCCATTTGCGTACAGTAGACAGAGAGGCACATCAGTATCTGCGTGCTCTGCATGGCTGCACATTTTAGCCAGATTGCATTTCAATAGCCCTCCACAGCTGATCTCCACTTAAATGTCCCACACAAATACTACAGCTCAGGCAGAGGCCGTTGTTCAACTCGCTGGAAATTCGAACAGGGGCCTCGGCAAGCCAAGAGCCACCCAGTCCAACACCGAGTACAGTGAATATAGCACCACCTACCAATGCCGAATGGTGTGTGTGTGCGCGCGCGCGCGCGTGTGTGTGCGTGTGTGTGTGTGTGTGTGTGTGTGTGTGTGTGTGGAAGTGGAAGCAGGATGTGAGGCTGACACAGATGGTTATTTTTGGAATTTGACTGTCAGCGACGAGACAAACCATGCAGAAGCAGCCGGTCTGAATGCAGGTTTTAAATAGAAACATCGGTAAATACCATCAGTGTGAACAGGTTTGTATTGTGAATTAGCCACACATTGTGATATTATAAATCAAAATTATTCTAAAACGGAATCTGATATTAAAAAAAAAACGGTAAAAATAAAATAAATCTGAGATATTCTCTGAGATCCTGGATAAAATCAACTCTTTCGGCAGCCTCTATCATCCTCCTCTATCTTCCTCCTACTGTTCTGCATCACATTCCCCTCCCCCACCCTCTGCTACACCAGAGACGTGTGAGCTCAGTCGAAATGGGTGTGGTGGTGACGCTGTGAGCTTCCATGCATTGTGGGTAATGTCAGGGTCTCCCTGCATTGCTGTAAATATGGAGTACTGCAGGGTGAAAGGAGGAGGTGGAGCTCAAATCTATTTAAGCTGTCAACATTTAGGTTTTGCATGAACTGATCAGCGGAGGTTATGTTTTTTTTATTATTACTATTATTAATATTTATTTGCTTTCCACTACTTGACTGTGTGTGGCCCGTGCAACGTTCCAGTGATGCTAGGAGCTCGCGCACGACTCGTCCTTCATCCTCGTGCAGGACTGTGCTGCCATCTGCTGGCAGGAGCTCTGCTGTGGGTTGGAGTGACATCATCACCCTCAGCAGCAAGCTCCATGTCATCTTTTCTCCTTAAACGGATTCAAATCTCAATCTCACCCCATCAGGTTTTAATTAAAGGCTTTAAAGTTGAATCTTGAGACAGCGATAAACCTGACCTGCCTGCCGTCTAAAACCTACTCTCTTCTTTTTTTTCCCTTTTATATCCCACCCTCCCAGGAGAGCCAGGACTACGAGCCAGAAGCATAAACGCATCAGTCCGAAACACCATCCAGCCAGCAGCACAATAATATTTCTAATAATAATAAAAAGGACAAATGCTGAAACTATTCCAATTATATTCCTGTTGCAAAAAAAAGGAAAAACGACAAAAAAAAGACAAGCATTCCCACTGAAAAATGTTCTTCCTTCAAGACAAATCTTTTATGATTATATATTGTAAATGTCATGTTATTAATGTAATGTGTTGGGTGTAGGTAAATCTATTGAGATGTAGGATTCTGTCCTCTCAGTCTCATTTCCTTGATTCCCTCCCAACGAAATGAGACCGGAGCCAGAGCTCGTGACTTTGTACTTGTGTATCTGTATTTAGACATGTGCAATAGATGTTCATCATCTTCCAATGAGACGTTGGGAGTGAGAAAAAAACTATGACGTATGACCAATTGCAAGCAGATATGAATACAATAATATCCTCTTTAAGTGTCAACGATGCCTGTTTGTGGTTCTTTTCTTTTGTTCTTTTTATTATGCATTTCTCTGAAGATATGATTTGTTATACGAGTAAGGGTTTTTTACATTGTATCTTTCTAGTTCTTCGTGAAGTCATTCCACTACAACTATCTGTTAGGAACCAACAGAGTATACATGTTTGTGTGTGCGCGTTTGTGTGTAAAGATTTTAACGAGTCGATATATTATGTCTTGGAAACATAATAGTTGTCATATTGATATGTGCTTTAAATGGCAGAATTTGTCAATGTAAAGGTTTCTGTGTTAAGCCAGACAACAAATCCTCTGTAAATAAAAGTTTAAAAAAGACTAAAAAGGGATTGGTTTTCTTTATTTTCTGCTGTTTCACGCTGTATGTATCACCCTGGCATGTTTATCTTTTTTGTTCCCTCCTGTCTGGGGTTGAGGGGTGGAATCTGCTGAGCAGGCTCCAGCCTCCCCCCGCCCCCCGCCTCAGCGGCATGGGCGCAGCCGTACTTGGGATGCCAGTCTGATCGGGGCTTTCTGAGCAGGTTTTGTTTTGGTTCATCCGGCTGGAAAGTGGGGAGGGTGGGGGGTGAGTTTAAAAGCGGACCGCTCACACCACCCCTGGCTCAGACGGACGTGAGGGAGCTGTCAGAGGGCCTGCCAAAACCGGAGTCATGGCCTCGTTCAAAAAGTCCTTTGAGAGCCTGAAAGGGACGAGCCACTCGGCTGCGAAAGGAGTCACAGACAGTGCAGGTATGTAGRTGCTTCACGAAGGGCTTCCCTTTTCTTTTATTCAGTTTTAAAAAATTAACTTTCACAACTGTTTCAAACCACCTGTCTCTGCACCTCCTGGTGTGTTTTCCAGTGCAGGCAGCTCAGGATGCCGTACAGCAGGTGGCAGACTCCTCCAAGGAAACAGTCAGCGCAGGTAAAGAGCACACTTCCTTCATCGACAAAGCATCATCCTTTGCACAGATATTTAGATGGGGAATGTCCCAGAGTCTWTATAAAAAATGTTATTGCCATATAAATGTTTAATTCTCGACAAATCCTTTTAAACCAGGGGTGTCAAACTCATTTTCACAGAGGGCCACATGAGCGTTATGGTGGCCCTCGAAGGGCCACTGGTAATGAACTTTGACGTTTCATGTTTAACTTTGACTAAACAGTGTTTAGTCAAAACAGACYTCCTCTTTTAAACACTGATAAGAACTAAGTGTACGACTTACTAAATCTGAAATAAATACAGAAATGATATTAAAAGTAAAACAAATAAAGTTTTACTCACTGATGAGTTTCTAGTGAGTAGCTGCATTATGGCAGATTTAGTTTATGTTTGATGGTGACTTTAAAGCAGCTTATTTTCAGACATTAATACTGTGCTATCCAACTAAATTGCTCAGTTACTTCAAGCCAACAGCTCAGGGACAGAAATTTATTAAATTTATTTTTATTTATTTATTTTTATTAAATCAATTTTGTTGCATTTAATCATAAATTTAAAAGTTTATCGTTGATATTAGAAACAATTTGCATGTTAAGTAAAAAAAAGTGTTGATTTTTTTGGGGGGGTGGGGGTACTCTCCCTGGCGGGCCTCACGAGAGTCACCCGCAGGCCACATTTGGCCCATGGGCCTTGTGTTTGACACATGTGTTTTAAACTAATTAAAAACAACAGTAAATCTAAATCTAACAAAGCATTAGAGGGGACTGTAAAACTAAAAAGTTTTTGTGTTTGGTCGATTATTTCTTCATTGTAATGGTGCTTCAAAAACCTGTTAGATTCTCTTTTAAATGGCGCCACATTTGTAAGGAACATGCATTTATGGGATGAGCAGTAGAGTTGTGTATGTGGGTTGCACACATGAAAAATCTGCCAAGTCTTCTCTGCCAAACAGCTTGCGGTATTCTGCTGTTGCTATTGACTTGTTTTGAGCTTCTGCTTCCCCCAGGTGCTGCCAATCAGGTGCCCACTATAAGATCAGTGGTGGGTAGAGTACTCAAAAATTTTACACAAGTAAAAGTGGAGAGTAGCCATCCAAAAATTTACTTGAATAAAAGTAAAAAAGTACTTTGATTATAAACTACTCAAGTGGCGTTAGTAGTGAGTTACTGCCGAGTACCATCTCGTGTCATTAAATTATAACGTGCAAATTGATTTACAAGGGAAACATAACTTTTAATAAGACTAAAATTATAAATAAAACACAAAGGTAATGTGAGCAAAAATGATGTAGAAAGCATTGTTACAACAAAAAAAGAATCTACCAAGCATTAATTTCCTTATACTTTTTGTGCTAAGTATATTTTTGTGCCATGCCGTATGAAATAAACTACTAACAAACTCTTTTCCCAGAGATTTCTTCAAACTTCCTGTTTCACWGCTGCTCTTTTTTCTGACTTTCTTCCTGAAGCTGCTCAAGAAGCCAGCAGGCAGAGTCAAGCAGCCATAGGAAAAGCTGCGGACAAGGCTGCAGACACCATCAAGGAGTTTGGACAGAAAATGGAAAGCAAATAGTCCGCAGAGAATGAAKAAGGCTTGCTGCAATGCCAAAGATGTTCGATTCCTCTGTGACTCGTAGACAACAAATATAATATATAGGCGGGGGAATAGAAAAACACATAGATGTATAGTGTGAGTTCACAACATTCCAAGATACAAAACCAAAAAAAAAAAAAAAATTCTTCCTGAATTGTCTTTTTATTGTTGTGCTTCATGACAGATTGTACCATTTGTATTTATTTTGGCAAATAAACAGATAACAACTTCTCTCTCGGGTTCATGTGATGTGATACCCTGCCATGTTTGGTGGAATTAACACGGCTGCTAACTGCAGAAGCTCCGATTTTTATTTATTTATTTTTGCTGTMGAGTGCTCTCATCAATGAATCATCGCGGTCGTCATTACTAACACGCTGCTGAGGAGCTGGCCTTTGGCAGACTGATAGTTCCTGATGGGAGTGAGCTCAGAACTGTTTACCTTGATCCTCGGCTGCACGCCTCCCTCCATCACACTACACGGTTGCCAGGCAACAGAGCTCGGTGCCTGCTCGTGATTGGCTGAGGCCGTTTGAATTGATGGTGAGACCATATTTCTCTGCACACTGTGTTCTCACCAAAACAGGAAAGACCTTTTTTTTAATAAAAGAATTATCAGCATTTTAAATCGTACACAGAAACTAGATGCAAATGACATGAAAGGAAGCGAAGGATGCTGGAGGGAGTCTGAAAGCTACTGTTACAGAAGTGCATGTGTGTGTGGGAGGCATAGCTCTGCTTCCTCCAGGCGCCTTCAAAATGATTTTTTTTCTCTTGTCTTTTATAAGCACATGCAGCAGAACATCCACTGTCTCTAACATAATTTTTGTCCCTTAGTAGCATCTAAGTGTTTGTGGTTTTGGAGGAGTGCAGGAATCAGCCTAAAATAATACAAAAAAATAACTATTTTACTAAAACAGCATTATGATATCATAACACTTTGAGTTTTTAAACACTTGGGATTTACAGAAACAAAATAAAATGTCTTATTAACAATTAAAAACCTGTCATTCCTTGTAGAACAGTACATTACCCGTTACTCATAACTAAAATCATTTTATGTTGAGAAATGATGGGGCAGTGTCCATTTTGGTCAAACCTTGACAGTAACGTGATGGGTGTAACGTGTATGTGGTGTGAATAACACTCGGCTAAAACCARGTCWAATTTTAGCACAWTATRRMTAAAACAGACTGAATTACATCTATTTTAATGTTTTCTAATGTGAACAGGATGTGGCAGAGCCACCTTGACGTGGGTTGGCTTCCAATCATAATCAGTTTTACAAGTGCATCCAATGATTATTTTCTTAAATGTTTCATCGAAGTATGTCAGATGGTCCACAAAATATTTTGCTAACAGACAAACAGAGTAGATTCCAAACAAATAGATTTTTTTTCACACTGCAAGTTTCTAGTCTGTGTTTATCACTGACAATGGCAATAAAGCTGATTCTGATTCTGATTTTGATTTTTTAAAAGAGAAAAAATTGGTACAATCTGTAAGCGTTCAGAATGCATCCCATCTTTTACCACATCAATTTGCACAATTGTCATGTTATACAGAGTCCATTGCAACAGGGTTTGACAAATCATGTCTAACAATATAAAAAGGCTAAATCTTGGAAAATAGCACTGATTTGGCTTAAAATTTGAATATAAAAAGTCAACATACTGAGCAGTTTTCAAAGTTAAATATCTGAGTTTCATTTTATTTCACATTTAAATTTTGAAAAACATGCGCAGGATATAGCAAAAGCAATTTTGCACACATTCAGATTGTTTAAAGACTGTTTACCATTTTATACTGCCAACAAGTTTATGCACTTAATGATTTTCCCCTCCTCATTTAAGTTAGCAGCTACAACCTTTGAGCCTCTAAGAATAATTTATTGTAGAGCAGTTAAAAGGCCAATATTATGTGTTTCTCAAGCATATATTTAAATACTATACCAAAATAAAGTATCTATGTCACCTTTAGCTGTTAGGAAAATGCTGTTTTTATGTTTAAATAGAAAATAAACTTATCTTCTCATCACTTCCACTTCTAAACGCCTTGAAATCGGCCTATGTCTCTTTAAGAACCACCTTCCGCTTCTGTCTTGCCCATTTCAGTGCGGGGGTGCTGCGATGATGCAGTTTACTTGGCATCTGAAAATATATTTCCTCAAAGGTATTTTGAATCTGAAATGAGCTTCAC